AAGCGGCCCTCGGAGAGGGCTCAGCCGCAGACGAGCTATTTCAGCCTGGCATTTTCTGAGACTTGATTTGACTTTGCTTCAGGTCTGGAGTGTGACTTGGCCATGAATCTGGTGGGGCAGCCCCTGGTGAGGCAGCAGGTGATGAAGGGCGTGAGGGAGTTCCTGGAGAACCGGAATCCGGTGAAACCCCTCGTGATGTCCTTCCACGGCTCAACTGGAACAGGCAAAACCTACGTGAGCTCCATGCTCGTCCGCTACCTCTTCCAGGGTGGGCTGCAGAGCCCCTACGTCCACCAGTTCTCCCCGATAGTGCACTTCCCCCACGCTGAGCGGATCGAGCAGTACAAGGTAAGGGATGCCTCTCAAGTGCTACTTGATTGGGGGTTTTTTTGGTTATGTCTATCTTGATCCTCAGTACATACACATTCCAGCTGTTTCCTGAAGTGCAGTAGGAATAAAAGCTCTTTGTTTTACCCTCTTAAACACGGCTGAGTGAGTGGCTCCACGCACTGGCTGAAGGGTCTACTAGTAACTGTGATATACTCTGGCACTCAGTTATCACTTTCATCTTCCCCACAGCAGTCCTTGTCGTGATCATGTTCTCATTCCTTAAATATTTACACAGCCCTTTGAATGCACAAACAAAAGTGCTTTCCTTAGATGAAAGGCACTAAAATTCTCCCATTGCTTTCCAAACAGCTTGATGGCTGTGAAAACCTGCGTATCGCTAGACTAGTAATCCCCTCCTCACACAGCAAGCAGCTCCTGAGCAGCAGCTCTAGGCTATTAACTGTGCTACTCTGTCTCTTAAAGCTGAGAAAGGGAAGAAATCAAACTGTGAAGGTTAGTTGCCAAACCCTCAGCAGAGTGGGGAATCGGCGCACCTGGACGTTCGCTTTCTGGGTGTTTGGAGAAGTTATTTGTTGTATTGTGTCCTTAGAAGAAATACTCTCAGGAAGGTAAAACCCCCACTGGGTGAAGTGCTTCAGTTAAGAGTTATACGTGCCCCCAGGTGACATGAGTGGTTTTGCATGGGTTGGCATCTACACTGAAGTAACTTCAGCCGTGGTAAAGAGCCAGAGCTCTTCTGGGTCAGCGCAGGCACATGTTCTGGCACCAGGACAGGAGCTGGCAAAAAGCACTCAGTAGCTGGGAACTATAGATAGACAGTGAAAGAAGAATGTGGGGAACTGTAGGAGTCTGAATCCCCAGCTTTAGTTTGCTGCCTCCTTCTTTAAATCCGTAATAAAAGATCTACAATGGGCTAATAAAGCTGGTAACAGGCACTGTGCAAAACCCAGAATACAGGAGGCCTCTCCAGAGCTGGCTGTTCCTGCTCCGAGTAGGTTGTGCTGTGCAGGGAGAAGCTGCTTTCAGCACCTTCAACTCCGCTTCAGCTCAGGGCTCAGCTTTTGCTCTGAGGTAGCTCAGGTCTCCCTCGCCGCCCTCGGTATCTCGCTGCCTTACGGCTTGGTGGGTATTTTTCCTAGGAAAGCCTGAAGCGCTGGATCCAAGGGAACTTGACAAACTGTGGACGGTCGGCCTTTCTCTTTGACGAGATGGACAAGATGCACCCGGGCCTGATCGACGTGATCATACCGTTCCTGGGACCCTCGTGGGTTGTGTACGGGACCAACTACCGCAAAGCGATCTTCATCTTCGTAAGGTAAGAGAGGCCCCTCTGTGGCATCACGGGGCCTTCCAGCTCACCGCTTCTCATTTGGGCAGAGGTCATACCTACTTCAGAGCACACACTCGTTTTGCTTTTCCTTCTCCAAGCCTTGAGCCTCCGCAAATACCAAAAGGCACTATTTCATTGTGAATAGACAGACCTGGAGAGTCTGAAAAAAGCTCTCCTGCCCCTGGTACTTGGCTGCCTTTACAGGAGTCATTTTAGGCCAGGCAGCTGGGAGATCCCGGCTTGCGCTCGTGCAGGCTGGAGGGTGCCAGATGCCACCTCTGTCCTGCAACACCATTTTCCCGGATACACGCCGAATAAGCATCTCATTCTTGTGCAGCAACGCAGGAGGGGAACAGATCAACGACATGACGCTGGATCTCTGGCGTGCCCGCAAGGACCGGGAGGAGATCAGCCTGCGGGACCTGGAGCAGGCCATCTCCAAAGCCGTGTTTGAAAACCCTCAGAGTGAGTCCGTGGAGCAGAGCCCTTCCTGCAGGGTCAGAGCCCGGCAGAGGGAGCCAGGCCCATTCCAGGCAGCCACTGACACCGCCTGCCACCTCCCAGGCAGCCAGAAAGGGACGAGGGGGTTTTGAGGGAAGGGAACTGCGATCTCCTCGAGGTTTCCTGGCGAAGGGAAGGAATAGCCCGGCCTTCCAAGCCAGCAGGCCTGTTGCAACGTTTAGCAAAGTTCTTTGGAGACAAGGTGTATTCACAGTTGGGGGATGGCAAACAGCACAGCATGCTCAACGGAAAGGGACCGAGACGTACTGATCCCCACTGCCTGCCTGGTTCTCCTTGCTTTGCCCTTGTCACAGGGAGCAGAGCTTAAATTCTGACTAGTCAAGCTAAATCCCCTCATTCCTGGAGAACAAGTCTGTTGTGGGGGAAGGGAGGTGACAACTGATGGGTTCAACTCTCGCCTTGTACAAAACTGGAGCAGATGTCTTCAGCCGAGTATTCTGGCTTCGCACAAAGCAGCTCTTTGAATTCCAGGGACGGCAGAGACTCTCTGAAGGTAAAACCTGTCTCTTCCTTTGCTTTTGCAGGTGGATTCTGGAAATCTGGGATCATTAACGAACACCTCATCGATTTTGTTGTGCCCTTCCTCCCATTGAAGCGCCACCACGTAAAGCAGTGTGTCGTCGGCGAACTTGTCCAGCAAGGCCTCGAAGTGCGTCCGGGTGTTGTCCAGGAGGTGGCTGACAGCATCCCCTACTTCCCAGAAGAAGAGAAAATATTCTCATCAACAGGCTGCAAAACAGTGGCCTCCCGGATCAGTTTTTTCTTCTAGTCCCTGGCGAGGGCCTTGCTCAGATCCATCAGGGATGTATGTGGAGCTGTAAAGCGGCAGAGCCCAGGGCTGGCACGATGAGCAGTGGGAGCTGCGTGTTCCCTCTCGGCAGCACAAGCGGTCTCC